GGGGGGGAGGGGGTTGGAGGGGTCGACTTAGGGGTGTGGTGGGAGCAGTCTGGGGGAGAAGGTGATGGGTGATGGCCGGGGGGATTTGGGCGTGGAGGTTAGTCGGATGTGAAGTTAGCACTTCACTGTGGAGGTGTACTCTGGTCGGAGCGTCACTTCTGACGCCGAAGAATGCTCGCGATCGCTTCGTGAGCTGCTATGCTGGCGGCTTCGTTAATGCTTCCAGCTGTTGGCTAGTTCTCGTCGTTCAGGTTCGGCGGTCTCTCCTGGCGATGTCTATTGAGCGGCCTGAGATCAGGCTTGCTCACTTTCTTTCGCTCTGTTCTCCTCCCTGGCTATGGAGGAAGGGAGTGTGCCTCCTGCTTCAAGCGTGGGTCGCCTTGCAGGTTGCTTACGTCGCTGGCTTGGGTGGTCAGGTTGATCCTTCTTCTACCTCGGTGGCCTTCGATGTGGAGATGGCGGCTGGTAAGTTTGAGGGGTGAGCTGGCTCACTGCCTCTTCACTTGATTCTGGAGCTTGGATGGAGCTTGGAGCTTGGAGCTTGGAGCTTGGATGGAAGTGCTCCCGCTTGAAGAGTGAGCTGTCTTGCTGATGTTCCAGGTCAGCTATGGGGATGGTGATGGAGCACGGTGATGGGGCTCGCGCTCGAGGCGCGAGCTGATTTGCATGCAGATTCAATGGCAGCCGCGTCGAGCCGCTCGATTTCGAAATCGAAACCGTGCCGGGCGCTTTCGCGCTCGGCGGCGGGCTGGCGGGAGTCGGGGACGTGACGCGAGAGCAAATTAGCGCTGCGTAGCGCTACCGGACGGCGCGAGCGCAAAAATTTTTCCCCTGGACTGGGTTTCTAAACATCAACCAAGTCAAAATTAGAAGTTTCCAGTGGTTACTCGCCCACCTTGCTCTCCCAGTCAACCAATGGTTGAACAAGAGGAGAAACTTTCAAGCCAGGACCCCGTTACAAGAGCTATGTGCAGTCTGGTTGGAAGGTCGCGTAGAAGACGTGGGCCATTGCCTAATACACTGCCCAAAAGCACAGCAACTCTGGTCCAACACAAACGATCTGTGGCATATAATCACAAACAAAACCCTCCCTACAGACCCTCTTACTCTCCTACTGGGCCTGCACATCCCACCCAATTGGCAAGGACACGAGACCATTTCCTTTCACATTCTACGTCTGGCAACGCTATGGATGATATGGAAAAGATGATGTCAAGAGACGTTGGACCACAAGTCAATTCAGGTGCAGGAAACATGGGAAGGAGTCCTAAATATATTAGAGATCGAATACAGAGGGCGCTGGAAGAGAGTGTGTAGGAAAATAGAGAAGAATCTAGTCGATAGAGACAAAATTATTGAAGTTTTTAACAAAAAGCAGCTAGGGGAAGGGAGAATAACAATAGACTAACCATACCGCAGTCCTCAGACCCGCCTCAAAGTAGATCCCATGTCACAGGAATGTCCATTGGCTCCTTTTAAACAAACTAAACAACAGCGGATAGCCCTAAAACAGTGTCAGCCCATCAACCCAGAATAGGAGCACCCAACTACCTGATTTCACATTAAAAGAGTGGACCCTAGCCCCTCAAAGACCCCAACCATAGGACCCCGAACGAACCAACCTTAGTACCAAACGCAGAACCTCATAAGGAAACCAAGCACCTCAAAAGAAAGACTCACTAAAGCTGCAAAGCACCACCATAAGGAACCCAAAATCCCTACCTCAACAGATACAGACACGCCTTACAAGAATAAGTAGATAAGCCAGGGCCAGGGTTATAGCAAGGACCGCAGCAAAAGTAAACAACACAGAATTTAGCGCAAACAGAATTTAACACAAGCAGCCCTATCAGCAGTACTAACACAAAAGGAAAATCAGGCAGCCAAGGAGCTGAGAGGCACGAATTGGAAGGAACACAAAAATCAAGCCCCAAACACTAGAGCGAACGGAATTCCCGATTAGTAAAAGATAGGAGAAATGTAGCACAGGCTAACTTAGGCAGGGGTGAGGGGGGGTACATCCTTCCTGATGGAAGCAGTCAATGCCGCCCCTCGGGCCTCCACACTAGAAGGGGGAGGAGCGTGAGCGTGTTCTCAAGAAGGGAAATTTAGAGGAAAGTAGCAGTAAAAACAGTCATCGGAGAGCAAGGAAGGGCTCACACCCCAGGCTATAGAGAGGAAGAGGGTTCAAGGTTTAGGGTTTTAGAGCCTGAGAACAGCACTTGTTTTACATTGTTAGGACCTAGGAACAGGTAAATCACGGCAGCATTACAGCTGAGGGTTCAGGGTTTAAGGTTTAGACGGAGAGAGGACAAATAGGGCTTAGGGC